AGCCCCGAGGGACAGGGAGGGGCCGCGCGCCCACTGCCCGCTGCGCAGGTGACGGGCGTGGCGCACCGGCCGCCGCCCGGGAGCTTTACAGGACGCGGGGCCTCCGGCTGGAGAGCGCGGTGGGGCGGTGTGGGGACGTCCGGACGCCGGCCCCTGGGTCAGGGCGAGGAGCTTGCGGCTCTTGCCAGTGGGGTTGGGGAGCTTTTCTCTGAGCTGCAAAGAAATGACCGTGGGCTTCAGGCGGTCGTCTAAGGAAAGCTGGGCTTGGGCGGGGGGGAGGTCACTGTCCCCGAGTGGCGCGGATTGGAGGCCGAGACCTTGTGCGTGTGCGCCGTGCGGGAGGCCCCAGTGTGCGCAGGTCTGGCGGGTCACAGCCAGTGCTGGCTCCTGGAGCCTGGCTACCCGAACGGGTGGGAAGGTAGGAGCCTCGCCTGCGTCTGGGACCTGAGCTGTTTACTCTCGTGACATCCGTCCCACTCTGTCTCTGCCAATTCCATAGCGGGAGGGCTGCTGTTGTCGTCCGCGTAGTGCTCCTGCGGGATGGGAGTGTGGGACTTCACTCCCTTAGTTCCCAACGGTCAAGAGTGGGTTTGTCCGAAAAACTCAGGAGCGACAGGGCCCAGAGAGATTGTAGAGGCAATGATGATGCTTTTACGAATGACATACGAGTGTCATTTGTAAGGAAACATTGGCTGGTCCGTACACCCGTGTGGGGTGAGTTGTTTCCAAGAGTAAACCTTCTGAGTGCTGAGGAGATACCACATTTAAGGTGCAGCGTGTCTTCGCCAAAGCAAACGACAGGTAAACAGCCACGCAGAGAAGTGCGTTTCAGCCGTATTTGCCAGAAAGGCTGCTGTGCAGAAGGAGATCACTGAGGCACCGGGCGTCGGAACAGGCGGAGTGCATCGTGAAGGGTGGGAGGGGGGTCCAGGCGGCCGGTGTGGAGGCGAAGCCGCTCTCCTACCTGCCAGGCCTGGCCACGCGGCGGACTGTGAACTCGAGGACTTAGAAGATGGTTCTCATCACTTCAGACTTTTCTCTATCTCTTGGTGAAAATGTCTGTGTTCTTAGGGGAAAAAACGTATTTAAATGAAGCATTAGACTGCTGAGCAGTGAATAAGTTGAAGTAATTACGTTGTTTTCTTTGAAAAGCTTCGGGTCTAGGAATTCATAAGAATTGATAGAAAGGCCAGGGCAGTTGCCACGTTGAAAGACATTTGCATTTTCCCGTCAGGGACCGAGCTGGAGGTAGTTGGGTTCACACCACGGCAAGCACAAGAGAGACGACTCTTTTGTGATGAGATTTTATGTAGTTAGAGGATTATTTGGGGCATTTAAAAATACATGAAATACTAGGTCAAAAGTGAGACTCGGTAAGTATGTGGTTTCTCCAGGCCAGGGATTCTTAGCCTCGGCGCTTGGACGTCTGGGCCAGAGGTGTCTTTGCTGTGGGGGACTGTGCTGGGGCAGGCGTAGCACCCCGGCCTCCACCCGCCATGTGCCTGCAGGACCCCCCTACTCGTGACAGCCAGCAACACCTCCAGACGTTTCCTGATGTCCCGAGAGGCGAAAGCGCCACGCCGAGAACTGCTGGCCTGGGGAGGAATTCCCCTCAGCGGGTAGGAGGGGGACAGGCCACCACGCAGCAGAGTGGCTCCTGTGTGGGGTGCCTTTCCGACGCTCATGCCGTGGTTAGTGACATCGGGTTTTTAGAGTAGATTGGCTTAGCTTCCATAATTTAAACAGTCGCAGGCAGCTTTCCAAGACATTTCTCTTAAAGTACGATTCCAAAGCAAAATTTCTATGACAAATTACAAGCATTTCGTTTTTAAGTGGTGTAGTGACAGCCAGGGAAGTGACGTCACTGCTGCGGAACTCTTTCTGCCAGGTAGTAATGGTTCTTTTTCACTTTACATTAATGGCCCTCCCTTTCCTTCCCTCCTTCCTTCCCTCCCTTCCTCCCGTCCGTCCGTCCTTCCTTCCCTCCTTCCTTCCTTCCTTCCCTCCTTCCTTCCCTCCTTCCTTTCCTTCCTTCCTTCCTTCCTTCCTCCTTCCTTCCTTCCTTCCTTCCTTCCTTCCTTCCTTCCTTCCTTCCTTCCTTCCTTTC